TGTCCCCTTAGGCTACGTGGACGACACGCAGGTCGCGCGCTGAGACAGGGATCCCCGGATCCCAAGGATGGAGAGCGGGCCGCCATGGGGGGCGGGAGGGCGGGGTTCCAGGAAGGACAGACAGAGCTAGCCTGGGCAACATGCGGACTTGCTGGAACCTGTGGCCCCTGCATGGCTGCTGCAACCAGAGCGGGGCCGGGAGGGACCCGGGGCTGGCTCAGGTCACGAACCCGGACCCCACGGCCGGCCGAACCCCATCTCCGGGCTGAAGGTCACCGGAGTCCCCTGAGACCCGAGTGACTCTTCGTCCTTCAGTGGCTGCTGGATTCAGACCCCAAATGGGCTGGGAGTGGTCTCTGCGGGGGCGGGTCAGGGTCTCACACCCTCCAGCAGATGTGCTGCTGCCACCTGTGTCCCAACAGGCGCCTCCTCCGCAATTACAAAGAGTTCTGCAATGATGGCGCCCACTACCTCGCGCTGAAGGCGGACCTGTGCTCATGGAGGGAGGCAGACTCCTGGGCTCTGATCTCCCAGCGCCAGTGGGAGGAGGGCAGGGCGGCGGGACACTGAAGGCCTATGTGGAGGGGACGCGTGTGGATTCACTCCGCAGATACTTTGAGAACCTGCGGAGAGCAGGTAAAAGGAGGTTCCCTAAGGTCTCCCTGAATTCCCTTTAACCTGGATCTGAGTGTGAGCCCTGCTGGCCTCTCAGGAGGGGAGGGAAATGGGGCAGATGCCAGCAGACCCCTGCTGGGTGTGGAGAGGGAAGGGTTCCCCTGCAACCCCAGGTCCTGTGGGACAGTGACTTGCCCAGAGCAGCCCTCCTCTCCCTGAGACAGTGAGGGACCCTGTCTCCCTGGGAGAGGAGGGGACATGATTCCTGACTGATCAGCACTTCCCTTTGACCCTGGAATAGACGTTAGGACCCACTAGGGACTTTCTCATATCTTGTTCTCTGTTCCACATTCAATTAGTTTGGAGGTCTCATTCCAGTTTTAAAATTTCTTCACCTCCATCCAAATCTGAACTAATAGCCCAGGTCTTCCACCTCAGACACCTGCAGCCCTCACCTCCGCACTGCCTGACTGATCCTAGAACTTCCCAAGGCACAGGAGGCTATGCAGCACCTGTGTTCCAGGCTTTCTCTAGGTGTTGTACTTTCTCTCCCACCCCAACTGCCCAGCCCATCCTCAGGATGGTCACCGGAGCCCTGTGCACATGACCCTGGGTGGTCAGGCAGAGTTCCTGCATCAGTGGTCCAGGCATAGGAACAATTGTGAGGATGGCTCAGGACTGCAGTGTTTCCTTCTGCTGAGCACCGGGTCACTCTGGTTCAGAGCCACCTCCATGGCACCTGACAGCGACAGCAATAACATCAGGAACATGTGTGTCTGGACCACAGTTTCTGTAGCCATTCGTCCGCTGTGTGGTATTTGGGCTATTTCCAGCTCCTGGCTTTGGTGAATTCTGCTGCTCTAAATATGGGAGAGCATCCATCCCCTCCTGTCCTGTCTCTTCTTGCTTTGGGGTGTATGCCAGCTGCAAGCACACCTAAGCAACTGGAAGGTAGGATACACACTGTGTGAATCTAGAAAAATTGTCCAGCATTAAAAGGAAACGGAGCCCACAAGCTGGATTCCAATCCACTGTGGCTGTGCAGCCAGCTGCTCTCTAAAACCCTCTTCAAACAAAGTTTTAAGAAGTGGAGGAGACTTAAGAACCTGAGTCCAAACCTCCCCAGGAACTGAACCTCTAATAAAGACACCCCCACCACCACCACCACCCCCACCCTGGCAGATGGTGGGCTGCTCCAGCCCCTGAGGAGATAGATGCCCCTTTCATCAGCACTGCAGAGCTCAGTGGAGGAGAGGAGAGGGGGAGCTGGTGCCTCATCTCCACACCCCTCCCTAACTAACACCACAGGAGATGCTAGCACCATAGGACAGAGTAGAACTGCCTCTGTGTGTTTCCAAAATGGCAACTCTGGGTTTTGTTTTTTTTAAACTCAGAAGCAAGTTTTTATTCTTTGATATATAAAACCAGGAAGTTTTTAATCCGCACACAGTGAGTTTGTTAGATAAGGGCACAGGACATATCAGGGTCTAGAGACACACCCAAGCCAGAATCATGAACAGCTTTCAGAGTGAGCCTATTTTCTTTCCTTATAGAAAATAGTCACCTCTGCTTCACAACTCAAAGCGGTAAGAAATATAACTTTCCTTCCTGGTATTCAAGAAGACGCTAAGAAAACCAGCAATAACTTAGTAAAAGGGCCTTTTGTTTGTGGCAGTAACTCAGCATTCGTTTTGGTTCGATAATGCTTGTCTGAGTAAAAGAGGCATCTTGGCGTCCTCAGAGGAAGTCCCTGTTACCCCTTGGCAGCGGCTCCTTAGTTTGGGGAGCATCAGTGCAGCACCTTCCCTCTTGCTTGTTGGAGGAGTGAGCAAAAGTGCAAGGCACCACAATTACTCAGTCACAGCTATTTATACCCAATAGCTGTTTCACAAAAGGAAGAAAAAAAAAAAGCTTTTCACTGAATGAATTCAGGAAAAAAATGAAAATGTTGACCCCGGAGTTTTCTGTCCTGTGAGCTCCTGACACAGGGCAGTGCGCTCTGGGAGTGCCTTCACCATGTGAAGGGTAACTTTTTTTAGTCCAAGTTTAGTGGTGGACATTTGAATGTACATTTTCCTCCCTAACAGTGGATTCCAACAGAAAATCCAGTTCATATAAATCCTCCTTGGAGCAGACATGTAACTCCTTAAAGCTACCAAATACGAGGATGAGGGGTATCAGAGAGAAGTGACTGCACTGAAAAGGGATCTGAACTTGAAGTAACTTAAGTCCAAGTGAGCTTTGTTCCTGGGCAGCCTGGCTGCTCTCCAGAGGGGTGTGCACCTCACTGAGGTCGAAGCCACAGTAGCAGCAGCAGCACTGGAGCACTTGGCGTCCACAGGGGAGCACTCCGCCCAAGGCTGGAGCCTCAGGTGTCGCCATCTGTCTGTGGAGCTGCTCTCTAACTGCTGGAGGAGGTGCTAGCTTCGCCCTGCTTTGCGCCCCAGGGGGAGACTGGCGCCCCTGTGCCAAGATTGGACTGTCAGCATTCACTTTGAAAGATGGAATCCTTCAAAGCTTCCTTCCTGGAGACCCCAGGGAAGTGTTCTCTGCCCGCTCAGCCACTTCTCATCCATTTTCCAGGGAGCCTGGCGATGTGCGGGGCGGGAGGCCCTCCGTGTGTCCACCCGCGGGGTCCTGCGGGGCTGCGGGCTTCTAGTACAACAGGAAGGACAGCTTTCCACCACGTCCCGAGGGAAACGCGCCTCCCTCCTAGCCCATCGGGCAAGAGCCTTTGCAAGGTGACCATGCAGCCCAGGCTCCTGGACCCCGCGGGAACGCGCAGCTTGCTAAAGGTTGACTGTAGCAGGCCCTGGCCTGAGCTCCTCCATGCTGCCAGGGCAGCTCCAGGCCACGGCGGGGTCGGCCCTGCAGAGAGGAGCTGAGCAGTGTGCAGCTGAGGATAGGGAGGCTGCCTGTGGCGGGGACAAGGCGTCCCTGCGCCCTAGATGACCACGTCGGGCTCCTGGTCGGGTTCAAGCTCGTCTGGGTGGACGTTCTCGCGGGCCAGTGCACTACGGAAAATCCCCACACTGATTTCTCATGCCTGTTTTGCTGAGAACCACAACTCAAATCTACGAATCAACACGAAGGGATTTGTAAGTGTGTAATGATGGGCTGCTTTCATAGGGGAGAGCCACAGAACTAGGTTGTCAGCTGCACTGACAGGAGCAGAATCCTCAGCCCGCCCTTGGTCGGGTTCCATAGAGACCAAGGTCACTGCAGCTGAGTGAGCTGCCACCTCACTCAACAGATCCTCCTGCATCTGGAAACTGAACCTTGCAGCCAGGACAACCCTCCTGCTCTTGGCAGCTGGATTCCCTGATGGTCACTCAAGTGCCTCTTGTCAATGTGTGCACTACACAGTCCCCGAAGGACAGAAGCACGGATATGTCCTGCATTGTGAATGAATCTGCGACCATATCTGAAGGAAGCCAGGCCCCAAACTTCACATGTTTGATTCCCTTTATGTGAAATGACAACAGAAAGTGGATTTGTCGTTGCCAGGGTGGAGATTCGTGGGGAGAGATTGTTAGTGGGCATGAATTTCTTATGGAGAGATGGAACTGTTCTAGCATTAGTTTTGGGGACGGTTGTTCAAGGCTGACTGTACTAGACATAATTGACTGGGCGGAGCTACGATGATGGCAGACACACTGCACTGTCCCTTTATAACAAAGATGCTGGAAACCAAGTGAAAGGTATACAGGTGACCATCATGAGTATGTTAAGTGATGAAGGGGTCCTCTCTTTAACTAATGATCACAGCAAGCCAGCCTATCTGCGGGCAGAAAAATGAAACAGGATTCATGGGGCACCTCATATATAGACACCAGCTCAAGGTGGATCAGAGACCTAAATGTATGTCTGAAACCTGTAAGTTCCATGGTCAAAATAAAAAAAGGCAAATATGATGGCATAAATATACTACCAAACAGAACTAAAAATGCACAAATAGCAAAACATAAACTAAATACCTAGGACCCCCTAACAATGAAACATTTGTAGGCATCAAAAGTTTTCCCCATCACAGCAACAGA